GTCTTTCATTTCTTTCTTATTAATCATTGCATTCTTTATCTATCATTATATATTTGTTTAAAATCCATTCCCCTAAATATGTATCACTTACCCTATCAGGTATATTTTGTGAGGTGCATATAACTGACTATATTTTATCTGTTTTAATATACCCTTTTTGTCTTTATAGATTCTAGAGTTTAATTTTGTTGCATTAAGAGATTTTACCGCTCCCTTTCTTATCTCTTCCCTCTTATATAGCCCTCTTGCTTTTGTATACAATTCCCAAAATTTTACCGACCCTTATCTTTATCCCCATACGTTTCTGTTTGACGTTGTCACTCATCGTATTATTGTTTATAATATTCATTAGGAATTTAGTAATTATTTGTTTATTCTTTCGCCTCCATGATAGGCATATATTTTAATCTTCTTTTTATCCAAAATGTCTATTTTACTCTTATATGCCACACAGTGTATTACCATTTAAACTTTTCATCGTTTTCATGTTAATGTTCAGTATCCTCATCGTGAATATCTTTTGCTTTGTCATATGTTGCATTATTTTCACATTCAATGTCAACACTCGCTTCGTCGTTATCCTCGTGCACATTTATATCAACGTCGCCCATGTCCTCTTCACCAGTCGTTTGTCTTTTTTCTTTTGTCCTCTTCTCTGTCTCCTGTTTGAGTCCATGTTCTTCTGTCCTCTTCTCAGTCTCCTGTTTGAGTTCTTGTTCTTCTGTCATCTTCTCTGTCTCATGTTTGAGTCCTTGTTTTTCAGTCCTATCTATGTGTATTCGATTTCTCCGTCTTTGTCTCCTATGTATAAAGTCTTCTTCTAGACCAGGATTCATAAATGGTAATTATTTGTCTACTAATCCCCGTTAACGGAATTCTTTCTGATGGGTGTGGGGTCTTTTCTTTCATCTTGTACCCCTTGATCTGTAGGAATCTTCTTTTATGGGCATGGGTCTAGATGTTTTAGATTACTTTGGATTTTCCTGGGTCTCGGTACCTCCCTGCTTATCACTAGATTCCCCATCACTCTTGTCCCCCTACAGTACCATCTTCCGCGGAGCTTTCTACGGATATCTCATGCAGTAAATAATACATGTACATAAAAGAAAGCAGGCATATATATATATATATATATATATATATATATATATATATATATATATATATATATATATATATATATATATATATATATATATCAGTGTGGTAATATGACTTAATAATGGTCATTTATTTAAGGTACATTGGATATCTTTTAATGAAACCTTGGTATCGCCATGTGATTACTGGAGAGTTTTCAAATTAACCCAACTCTTCCGACCTGTTCAAGATACCAGGCTAGAAAGAAAAAAAAAAAGATGCAACCTGTTTCACTCAATTCTAGAAAACATTAAGATATAGGTATATTAAGCTTGCAAAATTGTTTTAAAAAAATATTAAACTTCACATATTAACACTCAATAATGTGAAGTAATGGGCATGTATTGATGTCATAAGGTTATCAAAACAGACACGAGGTTTCAAGAAATATATCAGCCATTTACAAGCTAAATAACTAGTAAGGAACACTAACTATCAAAAAAGTATGGGCAGTGTGGGAATTGTGAGGTCTGATCATTGGTGAAACAATTAGTATATACCAGTGTATAGGGAAGTTAGGTGACAATGTACTAAATTAAAAGATAAGTAAACTTATTCATCATGGAAATAACAATTTTAGATACTGCAAGTGGATACAGCAAATTATGTGCATGACAGATCAACGAGAGCACCAACAGATACTAAATCAACTAAATGTGAAAATCTGATACCCATGACTTGTAAACAAGTATGGATATTTGCACATGTGTACCTACTAAGATGAAAGGTGCTAACTTAATTGAAATGATCTGTTGGAACATTTCTAATGTATTTGTACGAGTGTCTTTAACAATTATTACGTTGAATGGTTCATTTGAATGAGATTTCAGCTGAAGTTACAGTACATGACTCTGTCAAAATATTAAATTAAAATATATTACCACACACACGCATATTCATATTAAATTAAAATATATTACCACACACACGCATATTCATGATGCAGATACAATTTTAGGATATTTTAAGTGCACACAGACAGATATTTGCCTTGCAGATCAACTATAGTGAGATACTATATGATTTGTTGAATGCTAATTTCTAATCCCAAAGATTATAAAACAGATCGACATTTGCTCATGTGGAATATGTGTCCATATTAAGATCAGTTGTACAAAGTTACATTCAGATGTTTGAACAATTCTTGTGTTTACAGTGTCAGGTGACAACTATTATTAGAAATGAATGATGAATAAAGTTGAACGGGATATCAGTTGTTTATTATTATTATTAACTTAAACTTACTTCATTTTGTTGTTGTCTTGCATCCAACCCTGTAAGTAATTTTATCCCTTTCACCAATATCTTTGACATTTTGCATTCTTTGACAGTTTAAAATGAGAGAAAGCTTGCCAGTAGCTTCTCATGGGTCGGTGGTGATTTCCCGATTTCTTCATCTACCATTAATAAGGGCCTCCATTAATAGACTATCGTGTGCTGAAAAATGGCGTTAAGCCTCACAACAACAACAACAACAACAACAACAACAACAACAACAAGTTTAAAATGACTTAATAGCCAACCTTAAGAGGCTCTATTGTAGAGTTTTCATCTTCATCCTCTCATCAAGTACCATGTAACTATGTTTATAAACAATTACTGAAAGCCATACCACCGGATATACCACCGGCAGGTGTGTGTGTGTGTGTGAGTGTGTGTGTGTGTGTGTGTGTGTGTGTGATTTGGATTTTAACGTAGCTTTGACAATTTTCAGTCATATCTTTACCATGACTGCAGCGTGGCAGTTTATAGTAATGTCTAGCACTGGGGCATCATGCTGCAGACATGAATCATGATGTCCCACCAAGTCATCTTATCCTGACATCAAGCTGACTAGTCCTAATACTTTCCTGTTAATGCTGAGTAACAAGTGAGGCAGCTGTTTGTACCATTTGTATAAGTCTTCGTTATGACTCAGCAGTGGTTTAAACCGGTGACTTCCAGCATCCGAGGCAGACGCTCAAACCACTTTTGCCACCGGAGTAGTCCCACTAACAGGACTCAGATCACATTATTTTTCCAATATAGTCTCTACATTTGTTTCTCAGTACTGAACTTTTCACTGTGCCCAAATCGTAATAAATCACAATTTATTATAAAATACCTCCAAATCAATAGGAATGCATAGCTCTTTCTCTTGTATCGCCAGAAAAATGAGAGGTAAACATGCTACAAAAATAGACTGGTACTACATTCGGACTGAACCGGAAGTAATAATTCTGACCGATTCTTTACATAACAATAATGGGTCTGCTTTTCTTCCTGTACAGGTGATGCGACGTATGGAAGTAGACAATTGGACAAAGTGGACAAATCAATGCATACCACGCGCTGAGGTTGGAATCCCATCTGCTTGGGAGCACTTTTATTCGTTAACGTAATAGTGTTTTATAGCATTGTTATAGCAATGAACAAAGCCTTTTTAAAATCAAAATCAACACAGAGAACTCAGAAAAAATTTTCAATCCCCATCACCTCATTTTTACCGGGATTCTGTTTGCCTAATTTCAAATAATAACAGTTGACATTAGGAGATCAACATCATCTGTCTTCAGCTGATAGCGTTTGATGCTTATGACACTTTGACACTTGCCTTTAGTTTGTTTTTAAAATATAGTTGTTGACATGATTGATCTTTAATTACTAGATTTCGATGGAATTGAAAAGTTATCCATCTATTATTAAAAAAGAAGATATATGTGACATCGTTGGTCTTGAATTGCTACAGCTGATGGTTTTGATAATTTTATTTTGCATGACCTTTCTAAGATATAGTTGATAAAATCCTTCGTCTTCGGTTTTAGCTTTCGATGGTTTTGATCTCTTAGCTCTTCACTACTTTTGTTTGAATATAATTTACACTATTTTTGTGTAACGATCATTTTACTTGTCAGCAAATGCCATCTTGAATGATGTCATCCTTACAAACACGTGGCCTAAGGTTACTTGTAAATAAACGCCATATTGATTGACGTCATCACTCTAAGCATATAGCTTGCTTACAAATAAACGCCATCTTGAGTGACCTCGTCACTCCAAGCAAGATGTCCACTTAAGTTGTAACAAATGGAATTGTGTATGCATATAATAACCTTTCTAAAACGGATTATACATTTTATTAAATATTAGGACCAAACCCAATAGTTACACAAAGGGGCTGAAGCGATTTTGTAAAGCCTTCCGTTTGCACAAGACAAGGATGATTCGGAATCGACAAAGTATATAAATTGCTGAAAATATAGAAATACAAATATATAAAAAAAACTGAACCAAAAAATAGGAAGGAAATGCAAATTATTGAAACAAAATCGAATGAAATTGAAAGCGATACAAACGAATTAAATAAGTTTAGAAAAGAAAATGAAACCTTGAGTTTTAAAGTTTATAAGAGAAAATGATATTTTGAAACGGGCTTTACTTAGGAATGAAAGGTGATTAGTAATGTAAAGGATGCAAAAGCCATGTTAAATTGCAAGACACATTGCCAAAGTTATGGAAGTAAAATTTCACAAATTGTCGGACATTTAACAGATTAAAGAAATAACTTCAGAGAAGATGTTAATAACATTGATTAAAACGTTAAAGAAAAACTACCGTCAGGTAAAATACTAAAACAATAGTGAAAAGCGAAGGTGTACACTCTTTTGTTTTTTTTTTTTTTTGTTTTTTTTTTTCTACGGATATAGGTATGACAGCAACAATTCTTGGTTCATCAGGGTTTTTTGAATGATTAGTAGTAGGATGTGAAGGAAGAAATGGTGGTTGTAAAAGTTGTGGTGGTGATGGTAGCAAATGTAATGCAGACAAATTTGAAAGATGTATGAAAAAAATTAAGAACTAATTGTTTCAGTTAACTAACCACTCCAGTGGCCTAGTAGTTAGAGCGTCCGCCTTGGATACGAGAAGTCGCCGGTTCAAATTCCGGCCGAGTCATACCAATAACTTCTTTTTAAAATGGGAATAGAAGCTGCCTCGCTAGCATTATGCATTAAGAGGTTAGTGTTAGGACTGGGCGGCTTGGTGTCAGGATAATGTTACTTGGTGGGACATGATTGCACATCTCTGCGGCATGATGCCCCAGTGTTAAATATCACTATAAACTGACACGATGCAGACATCGTATCGCTATGACTGAAATTTTTTAAAATGATATGCTTAAAATCCAAACCACACGTACTCAGTTAACTAAAAAAAGCATCGGAATATGATATTATAAAGAATATAACATATTGTTTTTATATTAGTTGGAAAAAGTTTTTTCTTTATTAGTTCATCATGCCGATAGGTTAATTCGTGCATTGTAATTAGTTTTTCTTTATTAGTTCATTATGCCGATAGGTTACTTCGTGCATTGTAATTAGTTTTTCTTTATTAGTTCATCATGCCGATAGGTTAATTCGTGCACTGTAATTAGTTTTTCTTTATTAGTTCATCATGCCGATAGGTTAATTCGTGCATTGTAATTAGTTTTTCTTTATTAGTTCATTATGCCGATAGGTTAATTCGTGCATTGTAATTAGTTTTTCTTTATTAGTTCATCATGCCGATAGGTTAATTCGTGCACTGTAATTAGTTTTTCTTTATTAGTTCATCATGCCGATAGGTTAATTCGTGCATTGTAATTAGTTTTTCTTTATTAGTTCATTATGCCGATAGGTTAATTCGTGCATTGTAATTAGTTTTTCTTTATTAGTTCATCATGCCGATAGGTTAATTCGTGCATTGTAATTAGTTTTTCTTTGCAGTTATGTCAAAGATTTTTTTTTCTAACCCCAAATATAAAGAGATGAACGGTTCACGTTCATATATCAGTGAAATTATAGTCTTTTTAAAAAAAGTTCAATTGTACCAGTTAATGCAAAGGTACTCAAACATATAAACTTACAAAGTAATCTGTCAAATTTTATATTTCTTATAAATCTCGCGTAATTAGTAAATTAAAAATGCATTACACAACTTTTCGCTACATCATTCTTATTCGTGCAAGCAATGCGATGGGTGCCCTTTACTGGCGGACCTGGCTTCGAATCTCCATCTCCGTAGAGTACGAATAAAAACTTTTTTAATCTGTATGATCATATTATTTGTATTAAATACTAATTCTGCCTACTATTATCAGACATTCTTCTATATAACCCAGAGATAGCACTTTCCGTTCTGCCTGGTGTATATTTATATATTTAATATATATATATATATATATATATATATATATATATATATATATATATATATATATATATATATATATATATATATATATATATATATAATGACAATCCATGAGGCAAACAATATGATACAATATAATTGGGACTGCCACATTTGTCTTTTTCCAATCGACCTGTTCCCTTGACTGACAGTCATATTACGCACATACCTGAAACCGATGCCTATCAAGCTTTCTGTGTTGAAAGCAAAGTTCTGGTAGGTACTGATAATAGAAAACAATTACGAATCGTTCGTGAAATACAAACTTTAAAATGATTTATTGGCTTCTTTACATTTTGTTTCTCTTCCTAGCGTCTTTCACCGCATGTCGTTCTCTAAATATGAATCTGTCGACGTTTATATCTTCAGGTATAAATAAGTCTTTCCTTCTTAATGTCTTTTTAAAGATAATAAGATTACTTCTCATTAGCCACCTATCCTAAATAACTTTTCTATATATGCATAAATAGAATATAAATTGATTGTGAGAAGCCATTCCCCAAAAAGTAAGAGCGTGATCCAAATGAAGAAAAAGAAAAATTTGAAGGTGTCATTCACACAGAACTCCTGCACAAAAATTCATAAATTTTGTAGACAATCATTTTGTTGTCACCCTCTCAGATGGTGTCACCCAGTACTGTCCGCACCTTCCCCCTCCTTAGTGACTTTAGGGCAGTGGATAAGTAAGTTTTCTTGATCATTTTTAGTCATTTGCAAGGACAGTGGAAAGACAATGGGTGCTTCAAAAAGCAGGACACAAGAAGGCGGATTATTCTACCAAAGTCTTACATTTTGTACATTTTTCCTTGAACCCATTACTAAGATGCCAAGAAAATCGTTAGAGGTTTAAATTCAAGATTTGTTAAATAATAAAATACATAAAACTAAATTACCAAAAGCATGTTGTACAGAAAAATATAAAGCATGTACAGAAAGACACGTGAGCAGAGAATATAATAATATTCTGGATGTTAATTTTGGGGATCATTATAGTGTTTGAGGCTAAATATTGTGTCATTATTATTATTACCAAAATACATGGCAAATTTTGTCCTTATCTTCATCATGACCATTACATGCCTTTTTTTATCGGCATTACTATTAGGTTGTTCAAGCAAGACTTGAATCCATATTGTTTGCAAACAGTATGTGCAGAAATACTGAAAACAAGCTCCTGTTCAATTTTTTCGTGTTTTATACAAAATCCACTTCTCCTTGCCACTAAATAGATTATTTATAAGTGTCAATGACATTTCATTTTTACCACAGATTGACTCCATATTGCTGCACACTGCATCCAAATCTTGGGAAAAGAAATGTGTCGATTTTGTTAACTGAAAGAAGCTGGACATTACTATTATAATAACGTTTAGCCCTTTTAGAAGACCGGATCAGGCAAAGTGTTGAAGGAGTTGGGGTGGGTGGATTGTTCTAAAATGTCAAAATGTCTCTAACTTCGAAAGGGCACTAAAGCAAAAGTCTATGTGTCTGTTTATTCACAGTGTGCCCAATACCTAATAAACGTGCGCAAGAATAAAACGTTGGTCAAATTTCAAGTGACCCATATTTGTATGTTTGTATGTATGTACGTTTTCTTTTTAGCTCGGGTGGGTGGGTTATGAACCCCTCCCCATCCTACCCTTATTTCTTCACAATCAGTGTACCGTCCCCCACTCACCTGCACTGAATTATACAATTCCAACAACAGATAAAAAAAATAATTGTCCAGTTCATGTGTATATAAGCACATACGATCGTTCGGCAAATAAACGACACTTTTGAATGTTTTAACGGCGTTTATATTGGTGACGAGAGGTATAAAAATCCTAAAAGTGAAGCTCTCTTGGTGTTTGAGCTGTACTATACTGTCAAATCGTTATTATTAACAACGTATCCTAACGTATGTAAGGCTGCATATCTGGGGGTGCGATGCATCGGCTCTATTCGCAATTTTCTTTCGGTTTATGCCACTAAACAATTGCGTGTTCCTTCATATTTTCAAGATTGGACTATTGTAATTCACTTCTGTCTGGTTCGTCTCAGTATCTACTACAGAAACTTCAAGAAGTTCAAAGCACAACTACTCGGTTAAAATACTTAGAGTAGGAAGAACTAAGCAGACCTGGCCCATCCCCACCCTGTTCTGTAACCTCCGCTGGCTGCCCGTTCGATCAAGCACAAAATCTGTTCATTGTGCTAAGAGGCAAAAACTGGTCCAATCAGAATGTTGCCGTTGAACTGTTAATGTCATATGTCCAGAATTATTATTTCACGTGTTATGTCAAAACTGTTTGTCCTATAAGTTCCATTTTCTATGTCGAGATTTTAGATTGTATATGTTGAATTAAAAAGCAATAGTTGAAAGTTATATTTTCTTTGTCGGTGCTTTAGATTGTGTCGTTCGAATTGCACGGCGGTGGTTGAAATGTCAATTTCATACGTTGAAAATTCCTAATTTACGTATTGGTTCAAAGAGTTTATGTTGAACGTTCCATTTTATATTTTGAGCATTTATAGTTCATCTGTTGAATTACACAGCTCTGGTTGAAAATTCCTTGTCCAATATAGAGTTTTTAGACTGTATCTTCTGAATTTCACGTCGGTTGTTGAAATTTGAATGTCATATGTCGAGTTTCAATTCAACACGTCGCATCACATCGATTGCACTGAAAATTCCATTTCCTATTCTGAGTTGTTCGATTGTATATGTGTATTTACACAGCGGTGATTATACATTTTATTGTGCTTGAAAGAATTGTTATTTTTATCGGTTGAACTTATGCTTTGGTGTTAGAAGTAACATTACACAATGTCCACCTTAACAATTCAAGTAGAAGTAACATTACACAATATCCACTTTAACAATTCAGTAGAAGTAACATTACACAATGTCTACTTTAACAATTTAAAATATTATCGAGTATTATGATAAACCATTTGTGCCATTTTTAAACAAGGAGGTTGCTTGCTGAGAAATTCAACAGATGAAATCTAAATACTCGCCATATGAAATGGAACTTTTATTTAAAAAAAAAAAAACAGTTACATTCAACGTGTGAATTAATTCTCGACATATTATATTGAAATCTCAACCACCGTTGTGTAATTCAAAATATACACTGTAAAACGTTTAAACCACCACTATATAATTCAACATATGAAATCTAAAAACTCGATCTCGAAAATGGAACTTTAAGGACATGTAATTTGATCCAGCATGTGATATTGTATTTCTTGCCATACGACATCTAAATTTCAGCTGCAACTTTCGCTTTGAACCAGTTTTTGTCCGCTACGGTGCCTCATATTATGCTACATTTTATTCTCTTTTTGGACTGGCTCCAGTTCAATATACCTATCTGGCCTCATTTATGTTCAGTCCAATCAGGCCATAGTACACAATTAATTTCACTATATTTTCTCTACATTTGTTTCTCAGTACTGAACTTTCCACTGTGTGACAATCAATACAAATCATATGTTAATCTAAAATACCTTCAAAGATGACTTTACGATTTAGTTCTTGTCAAGGGTTGACCTGCATTTTTCTGAGAGGCTGAATTGTAAACAAAACACCAGGCAACGGAACACAGATTTCACTTCCGGATCATCACCATGACCTTATTATTCAATGTGCACTGTCGCCGAAATACACACAGACAACCACACCATAAGCTCACATTTTAAAGAATAATCAATTGCCTTTAAATCCTTACCAAGA